GCTTCCCGAAACACACAATAATAAAAAGCAGCAAAAAATAATGATATACGTAATTGTTACATGCATCGAATTTTACACGACTAATGAACCGCTTCAGTTTAATCATCACCTTTTTAAAATTAATTTATGCAGGTGGCGACCATTTATTAATTTGTGGGTAGGTTTCAGTTTAATCAATCAATTTTTCTTACTTTATTTTTCATTTCCAATTATTGCTCCGCAAAAATAGATCTCAATTTCTCATATTAGTGGAATGCGATTTAGATACTTGATTCCCTATGTACATTGATTATTGCATAAAATCATTGCATGCATTTTTTGCCTATTTACGATCACATATAAAATTGTTTAGCTTTGGAATTTTTTCCAGTAGAATATTGTCCTTCTGTAAGATCACTTAGTGCCCATATTACTAAAATTAATTCTCGAGTTCATGCAGTTATTTTAGCAAACATCTCACCACCTAATCATTGTCATGAATTTGTTCTAAATCGCTAATGGGATAAAATAGAATTACATACCAACTCATTACCCCTTTGAAAATTTAGAATCACTTCCACCCAGCAGAAGAAGAATCTCCCAGGCCAGTTGGGAATGAGTCGTATTTATATAAATCCTTAAGTATTAAAGATAAATGGAGAGATGTCTGTCGTAATTAAGTATTTTTAAGCAAGGAATTAATAAGCGATTCAACAGATCAGCCTCGAAGTATTTGGAGTAGATTGAACCGTTTACGAGCGGACAAATTGCTGCAATTCATTGCTCTTTAAATGTGATTGTGTTCCAAATGAGGCGCGTGATTGTAGTGAAGTTGAAACAGTCAAACTGCTCATTGACGTCTTGTAGGTGATTGGTTTTCATTCCTTATGCCACTTTAATTAATATTTATTTTTTGGTATTACTCCTTCTATCTTTCAAAATTCAAATGAATACATTTACATTAAGCATGTTATAATTAGGTTCCCATAACCTACTTCTCAGTCATCAAAATCTGTCAAGAATTGGTCATAATAGGCAGCCAAATCAATACTGATCAATTTTGTCGTCCCTGGAATCGCACTTTTCAAAGACACCCTTTGTCATCATCAGAAGGTCGTCACTCCTAAGACTGGTTGGACACGCACCTCCACTCTTTCCTATCCTGACCAAATCTGTGCATTTTTCTAAAACTAGAACAACCCACATCCTTAACTATTTGCGAACAGTAATCTAATCTTGGTTTACCTCTACCCCTCCTAACTCCCTTTTTTGCTTCTAACATGTCTTTGACCAGGACCTTCATGCCTGAGAAGGTGTCCTACTTACTATCTTGTCTACTTCTTATTTACTTCCATAGAATCCTCTGTTCTCTTATTCTTTCTAATACCTCTTCATTTCTAACCTTCTCTATCCACGGTATCCTCATCATTCGCCTGTAACATCACATTTTGAACGCTTTAAACGTTTTCTTTTCTGCCGCGCCCACTGTCCATGTTTCGCACCCGTACAGCACCGCGGTCCAAACACCCTTTTAACAACCTTTTTGGAATTTTAAATTAACCCTTTGTATCTTTACAATAATCTCAGATGTTCAATTTGCATTCTTTATTAAATGCAAAGTAAGTTTTAAATTTAGTAGTTACTTTGTCATTAAAAAATTTAATTTGAATCGGTTTGGCACTTTATTTTAGCTCTAATTGTTTAAAAATTCTTCGTTTAGACATATAATTAATTTTTACTTAACTTCTACACAATCCAACCCATTTGACAGGAGTCTCACAAAAAATTAGCATTATTCTTAGAAACAGTTTCTTTTTATAAATCTGAAATCAATTTATTTCATTTATATAGGCATTTTGTTTACAAAATCAACTGAAAATACTTTTAATCTTTTATACCTGTGCAATGACTTTGAGACGTAAAATTCGCTGAAATAATAAAACTCAAAGTATGTCCTTGTGTTTTTTCATTTGTAATGACTAAGATTTATAATTTAATGTTAATTTTTTAGATTAGGTTATTCATAAATCAAACAAAATTAATAAAATCCTTTAATTATATTAATTTTAATATAAATAGAATGAATGNCTTATGACAGTAACTTTATTACTGGATATCACATGAAAAACATTCAGCGCGATTAAATATTTTTTAGAGGTCGCTTATAATTTTAAAAATGGGAAAAAAAAATTTTTTAATCATAATAGAATTTTATAAGAAATTATACATTTCTTCCTATGTGGTACAAGCAAAAATTTGTTAAACGCCATCATGATTTTTTCCTACCCTGAGCTACTCTTCGCATTTCCCTAAAACTAGAACAACCCACATCCTAAACTGTTTGTGAACAGTAATCTAATCTAGGCCTACCTCTACCTCTTCTAACTCTAATTTATGTTTTACTTTTACTTATTTTCATGAAGTACTGCTCTGATAATGCCGCTTCCATTTTATTTAGAGCTATCTCTAATTTCTCCTTGTTAGACGCTAATACTGCTATATGATCTGCAAATCTAAGCATACTGATCTTTTTCCCCTGTGTAACTAACCCTACAGTTGTACTGTCTTTAATGATGCTGATCGCGTCTTCGATGTATAGGTTAAAAAATAGCGGTAACAGGTAACAGTGTGCATCCCTATCTGACTCCATTTTTAAAATTTACTTCTCTACGTTGCACCCCAGCTCTATAACATCCTGTTGCTCTTTGTACAAACTAAGTATCGCTCTTCTGTCTTTATAACTCATCCTTACATTTTTAAGTATATTTAAGAGGAAATGGAAACACATTGTAAAGTGAGAAAATACCTTCATTGTAGATTATACGTATATAGAACAGATGAGTGATTGTATAGCGTACGCCTCTTGTCAGAATAACGAATACTTTTCACCGCAAGTAATCCTCACCAGTAATCGATTACTAGTAAGGGATACTTAATATACTATGAAACCACTATAGCTTCAAAATGGTATACTTCGTTTACTTTCTGTACCAATGTGACCTTCAGTTTGAACGGCGCAAAGTAGAAAAGAACAGCACTAGGCCAGAAAAGGAAGGAGACAACTCTCGGCCAAACTTTTAACCGGTGAGGAGCGTATAATACGTACATCCACTACAATTGCATTGCTCAAATGTGCTGTTATTGGTACCATTTACTACTGAAAATATCAACGAGATGTTTATTTATATTTGAAGACATATTAAAGGCTTTGACGCTTGTTTTCAACTCGCACTACTATTCATGATTGAGCAGGTAGTGTATGAAAAAGTATGTTAATGAACAAGAGTCGAGAGTATAATGAGCTTTTTTCTCCCTACCTACGATTTTGCCATCGCGCATCCAAAACATTGGAAGGGGCACATCGCTAGAAAAAGTAAATGAAGTATATAGTCTGCAACAAACTGTCGCATTTACTTTCTTCTTTTAACTTACTAACTAGACTAGAGCGGTTGTTGACAGAACGCCTACTTTTACTAACGACAAAGGTTTTAGAGAATATCGTAAACATAGAAAAGAGATGTCAGGTAGCAATTGCAGCGGACACTTATAAAGAAAAAGGAAAAACATTACATCAATTAATGCGTAACGGAAAAAGAGGCAGACAAGCAGAACCTAAACATATTGTCAGCATCAACATTCTCAGGAATTTAGGAAAGCGAAGACGCTTGTTTAAAGATATAATTCCAACTAAGTCGACCTGATCTTTTGGGTACCTCTAAACGCTGCATCGCTTACCCTGTTTTCACACAGACGGTTTTCTAACGGCAACCGTGCCGTGCCGTGCCGTAATTTCATTTTGCTTTGCGTTCACACTGCACACGGTTTTTCACTTCGCGTTTAGTTTTGGTTTGATACGTGACCAAAATGGACGAAAGAAAAAAACGCATGTTGTTACTAATCGCAGAAAAACACAAAAAACAAGAAGATTTTGCAGTTAGTACGCGAAGCTGAAATATTAATAGGGATTACTGGAAAGTACAAGTAATAAAAGTTATTGATAGCGATAGAATTGAATACAAAACAATTTGAATACACTGTTCCAAATATTTTCACAGAGAATAATAATAATAGAAAGACAGATACAAAAGAATTCGAGTAGAAATATTTACAAAAGGGTGTAATATAATGTTTAGTCAAATATATGTTTTAAATTAAATATAGCGGTGTTATTATCCGCCACACTGTATAATTTCTTCTGTTAACTGCACAATTCAGAGAGAAAAACGATCCTGAAAACAATTTTTGCCGTGTGAACAGACGGCACGTGTGAATACTTCTGTACACTTGCTTGTCTCACTGTTGCCGTGCACGGCTACGGCGCCGTGCCGTTGCAGTCCCCATGCCGTGCTGCGACGGCAGCCGTGTACGGTTACGGCAGCAAACCGTGCTGTATGAAAGCTTGCATATAAACCAATGTGTTACTATTATACACGGCACGGTTGCCGTGCACGGCCACGGCAAAAAACCGTCTGTGTGAAAGCAGGGTTATTATTATTCGATATCTCTTCACTGTCTGTACTATTCATGAAGCATTAGCTAACTTAACAAGGGCGTGCTCAAAACGCAGCAAATGATTACACACCCAAGCGGAAACGAGAAAAAAAGTACATCTATTCTCAGAGATAATTTATTGCAGATTTTGTCAATTTTCATCGTCCCAACTATACCCGCCAAAACGAAGCCATTAGGCACATTGTGACTTTTGTATTCGTCATTTAAATTAATTTATTATTTCTTGAATACGTTATTTGTTATATAAATATAAAACATTTCTGTTATCACTATCAATATATGGTTATTATTTATTATTATATAGTTATGTAAAAATTTAGCGCCGTCATCCGAGTATAACAAATAATGATACGTTTGCAAACAGCGGACTTTAAACATATCTTTCGACAAATTAATAAGTTGAAGAAGCCACAAAGTTAAGATAACCTATCGACACCGGACGCGTCCGTTTTGTCCGGAGAATTATTTAATTTTTCAAAATAACATGTCAATAATAAATATGTACTTACATTCGATGATAAGGACTATAAACAAAACCCCTCCAATTTATATCTCATCAGGAAAAGCTTGTATCTGCAAATGATAGGTACTGTATTTTATTTGTTTATGACGTCAACCAACTCTAATAAGTAAGGTTAGTATAATAAAGCCCAATACTGCATGGAAATTGAATTTGTAGAAATATTTGATAACAATAAATACACAAAAAGACGCACCTAAACAAACAAATTAAATGCATATAATTATCTGATGTAGATAAATAGATATCAATCTACACCGCATTACAAAATCTTATCAAGTAAATTTAAAATTCAAGACCACATTAATTTATCAAGCATTCTTTAAAAACTATCAAATGTCTTCCCATATGAAGACCTTGTCGACACTAAACTAACAATAAGTAAGCATCTCTAGTAGCGACACCCCGTGGTCAGAAATGTATAAGTGAGGGAGAAAGTGTCCATCGGATGTGTCAAATTTTTGTCAATACAAATATCTAGTTGTATTCGTTGATATGCCCGGTAAAAATAGTAATAAGAAAAAAAACTTAGCGGGAGAGAATGGGATATAATTCACAAAAGGCTAAAATTCCTGACTTGAGTTCTTAAGGGGGAAGAAACTCAGAAGATCCATGACAACACAACTCTTCATGAAATTAAGTTGCTTCACCAACTTTGGAACAGAAAATCCAGGTATTCGTGCAAACGATAATAGCCAGCACAGTTGCCGCTCTCCAAACACCTACCCATGGATAAAAACGCCCACCCAAACAATCTTCGCGTAATTACCTGGAATGCTCAAAGCATTAAAGGTAAATTGACTGAACTAGAACACTTCCTCGAGGAACAGTCAATCGGTTTTGCCTGCATCACCGAAACTCACTTATCGCGTCAAACGTCAAAAATTTTGTCCCAACCTTCACATCCTATAGCAGGGGCCGTGAAAACTCCCGAGGCGGTGGCGTAGCCATCCTGGTCAGGAACTCTTTAAAACACAGGCCCATCTCTTTGGCCATTAATTCATTGGCATTGAAGTCTCGCTAACTTTCGGCCCCCTCAGAATCATTTTCCTTTACTCCCCCCCCATCTAAAATAAATCTTTCCCCATCTTGGGCTGTGTCGATTCCCGCCGCCTACAGATTCTTCCTCTTTTCTCTCTTCTGCACTCAACTATCCCTGGTTCATCAGAAACATACAAATTCTGAAAGAAACTGGTCTACCTTCACTCCCCGAAGCTGCAGTTAGGTTCGCGGCTAATCTCCGGGCCTCAGTGTCAGGTCACCCAAATAGGTCATCCCGACACTTTCCGTTTTCACCTCCAAATCAAATGGCCGTTTCCGAAGGCCCTACCACCTTCTACTCTGAGCTGCTTCCCTTTCGCTTTTCTAGTACAAGGGCCCACCCAACTCATCCGAGGTGGGCCATCGATCAATGCCTCCTTCCTACACCTATTCTCCTTCCCGACCCTAACCTTTTCCCAAAGAACCTTACCTGGGATGTATAACTTCCGGGTTAATCTCCCTACTCGAGGTGGGGTTTTAATCGGTAGGCGCTTCGGGGAATCCAACACTACCCCCATTCAGGGAGTGTCTTTTGAGTATTTCCCCTCCTCGATAAAAAACTAAAAAAAAGAAAAATTCACGAGACCTTGCGGTATGGCCTAGAGGTTTGGTCCATTGCTTAGCATTCGGGAGGGCGCCGGTTTGATTCCGGGTCTGTCTGCCTTGGTCCAAGTTCTTCTGTGGTTTCCTTGGATCACTTAGTCAAATGCCGGGGCAGTAATTTTCAACAGATAATATTTCATTCTCTTCTGTCTTCATGTTCAAGTATTTTTTCAATTTAATTTAGAACAAGTCACTTTGTGTTTATCTGTGTATAGTACAAACCCAGTCAGTTCGTGTAAATAGTGTAAATAGAAAAGCAGTTTTAACATCGATGTGTGTAACCAAAAGAGTCTTCGGCGACATAGCAAATCAAACACTGCTAAAATCTCAACGAATCGAAGTAGCGTATCGTACTCTAATCGATGATCAAAAAACCAAATTTGTCAGAAAGTGTGGTACTATTTGTAAAAGAACGTATAAGAAAGACGTAATTATCACGTACACCTATATACATATATCAGTAACGGCATGCCTTACGATTAGTGAAAAAGGTCATAAAATGTAAAGATTCAATTCTAATTTAAACGATGATGAATAGTCAATATAAAAGCACATTATGTATGTAAACACACGACGCTTGTATATGTATGCGACATTACAAAGGCTATCAGTTCCGGATATCCTATAGGTTCTAAGGTTATCGCGATCAGTAATCCAACTACAATACTTAATTTACGATGCCCGTCTGTTTCATTCCTACCGACTAGTAGAGATGGCAACTATCGGCGCTTCGAACGCATAACAAATATTAACATAAAGTTTTTATTTGCCTTGTTTAATGGACGCAAGTATGACATCATCTGCCATTTATGATGAGGAATTGTTTGAAAGGCAAAGGACAATTAAGAAGAAAGAAATGTATTTATGTACATACATTATGCAGCTTCCTAATTCTAAATTAGACGTGTGATAAATACATAGGGGCAAAAGATTAGTATGCCTAGATTTGCAGATGATATATGTAACAGTAATAACATCTAACAAGGAGGAGTTAGATGAAATGGAAGCGGTATTGACAAAACAGTCTTGTATGAAAATAACTAAGAGTAAAGCAAAAATACTGGTATGAAGGGAAGAAAAAGTAGGATAATTATCATCATCATATACGGTCGTCAGTCCTAAGACTGGTTGGACATGCACCTCTACTCTTTCCTGAGCTAAGCTTCGCATCTCCCTAAAACTAGAACATCCCACATCTTTAACTATTTGTGAACAGTAATCTAATCTAACAATAAGTCTACCTCTACTCCTTTTAATTCTGCTTCTAATATTGTCTTTAGCTCTTCACGCCTATGAAAGTGTCCAACCAACCTATCTCGGCTATTTTTTTCCGTAGAGTCTTTTGTTTTTCTATTATTTCTATTACCTCTTCATTCAATCAAAAAGTAGGATAGGAGATAAAAATTAGTGGCTGATTTATGGTATGTGCAATGTTAGGTAACTCAGGATAAAGAAGTTATCTCTATGCTCGTGAACAGTTAATTTTAAAATTCTAAAAAGATTGTTAATGGTATATGTTTGGAGCACGGCTCTGTACGGGTACGAATGATAAGGATACCGTGGATAGAGAAGGTTAGAAATAAGGAGGTGACTGAAATAGTGGAAGAGCAGAGGGCGCTATGCAAGTCAACAAGAAATAGGCGAGATAAACCGGTAGGATGAAGGACTGGTTGGAGACACATTGGAAACAGGAAGTTAAGAGGGGTAGAGGTAGACATAGATTAGATTACTGTTCACAAATGGTTAAGGATCTGGGATGTTCTTGCTTCAGAGAAATGCGAAAATTATCTCCTATGCTGAAGTTAGTGTTCAACCAGTCTTAGGACTAACAATCTTATGATGATGATGATCTGATATATTTTTTATTGAAAAAGTAGTAGTTTCATAGGGTTATGTCTCACAGTTGTTGGTTTTTCAAGGTATATCACGTATACAAAATATCAACAATTATTCTTCCTATGCAAAAGGTAGTGATACCTCACATTTAGATTTCCATAACTAGAAACTCTTCCAGTTTTGGTCTATCAGTCAGTTCAATCCGTTAATCTGTTTGTATGTATATCTAACAATCAGTAATTCAGCAGCTACTTGTTTTTAATAAAAATGTTCAAAAACTGTTGTAAATCTCATGCTCCCGGACAATGCTATCGTAACAGGGAGTAACTAAAAAAATATATTATTATTATTATATCAAGGTATGGATTTTATTTTTTTGGGAGCTTTTTAGGATTTTTATACCTCAAAATGAAAAAAAGGAACTTTCGTAAGATCACTTTGTTATTGTTCCTCAAATAAGCAAAAATCATTGATTAAGTGTGTAAAAGCTTCCAAAAAGGTTAATATCAGAATATTATGTTTTTTTTGATGTTTTACTATTAAATTAACATCAATTAGAGTCAAAAAACTTTTTCTTATCCTATAAATATAGATATAAATATAGGTATAAATATTCACTGCGATTTTCAATATTATTCTATAAAAATAGCAAGAAACGCTACCTTTGAATTTTTTTTAAGAATACACGTTTCTTTTGTACTTACATACCTAAATCGTCTGACATCCTAATTTGTGAAATACGCTGATGCTAAACCATTTGTAATCAAATTGGTACCTACCGTAAATATATTCAACTACTTAAGATATATTTTATGGATGGATATAAATAATGGAAATTAATGCAATTTAAAGAAAAAAGCAATAGCAGGTATGGACCGTAGCTGAGAAGACGAAAAGGAAATGAGAAACAACAAGAAAGATGCATTTAGAAGAGGATGTTCTTTCGATTATTATAACAGAAAGTGAAATACGCCTATAGAAAGGGTTTGAAGAAATAAATAAAAATCTAGAAAGGCAGGAGCAAGTAAGATTACTAAGAAACTTAAAATATGCGGAAGAATACAGGATAGTTGCGCCAGAAATTACAGAGACTCAAGATTATTTGAAGGAATGCCAAAACAAACGAAATGAATTGGAAAACAACGCAAAAATCAGACTAGGTTCCGGAACAGACTATGCAGACTGTGAAGAATGAAAAGAAACTATCCAACATATACATATAAGTATTTCAAAGTTGTGAGACTAGGAAGCAACAAATGCTATTAGCAAAAAAAGTTTAGAGCGAATGTGGAAAGAAAAAGGATAAAGAAATGTCAGTACCCAGAGAAGTAGAAAAACAAAGAACACGAAGGCATAAATGAAGTCTGCATAGATAGAAAGAAATTTTAGAGTTAGACAAAAAAAATGTATACAAAAATCAGTTAATAAAGCTAATTATCCCGAGGTATAGGTATGCCTTTGTCTTAATTCTGCTTTTGCTTTATAATTATCATTACGAACCTATACCTACGCAGTACCATACATAACGTAGAACATTACTGTACTTATGTATAATGAGTAATGTTAAATTCTT